CTATCCACTGTGCCACCTAGTTGCCCCTGCATATTTTTTAAAAAGAGAAATTTCAATTACTTAATGAATTCAATTAATATTAATTATACTAATTACTTAACATTTTTATTTATCATGAAATCACATTAATGTTTTAAAAAAGTGCTTTGCTAAGCAGTACAAGTTTTAATACGTTTTTCAGGTTTTCTTACTGTTTACATTTAGTAACAACCAAAAACACAGCAGAAAAGATATCGCTGAGATATGACTCTTGCTCCTCTCAGACTGACAGGAGTTAGTTGCTGTGGGTCACTGTGACAGATTACATGATGTGCACAAATAGTGACTAATGGAAGGCAGATTCAGCCCGGGGACAGTGAAAGCACTTGTTAAACATCTTTATTTATACCCTCTACATTTTTTGTAGAACCAAGTCCTTTGGCAGGCCACAAAGTGGCCCACAGGCTGCATGTTATTCAGGCCTGCATTATGTTTAACCTCCACTTATGAAAAAAGACTTCTAAAATGAATTATATACTTCAGTAAAGTATACTGAGCCTGATTTAAGATTTTTTTCATGATTAAAATCATTATTATTAATACCAATTGACTGAGCTATAATACAGAGAAATTATAGAAGTAGGTGGCTAGGGCTCTTTGCCCTAATTCTGAAGGACCCCAAAATTATGTGTTTTGAGTTGTATTTGCTTTTCAAAATTTCCTCCCTCAGCAGCCCTTTGTGTTTCTAATTTGGCATAGCCTGGGAAAGGATATCGTTAAATATTGTTAAATTGTCCAAAATAATATGAGAAAATAGACACTTGGGGGAATGTCCCCCTTTGAATAAAGTGAGAACTTTAGTGAGTAGCCTTTGTAACATTTGACTGCTCAGAGGCTCTTTTTATATAGCTAGATGGTGGGCACAATGGACAGAACGTTCGGCCAGGAGTCAGAAAGACCTGAGTTCAAATCCTGCCTGAGATACCTGGGTTGGGAAAACTGGGGCCTTGAGGCCTTGCAGCCCTCTAGGTCCTCAAGTGCTGCTCTTTGAATCCAAACTTCACAGAACAAAAGGCCAAACCCAAGGATCTAGAAGGCCAAAGGTTCCCCACCCCTGCCCTGGACAAATCACTTAACTGCTGTTTGCCTCAGTTTCCTCAGCTATAAAATGGGAATAATAACAGCACCTACCTCACAGGGTTGTTGTGTAAACATCAGATGTGATAATATTTGCAAAAAGCACTGACCACAGTGCTTGGCACAGAGTAGATGTTGCAAAAATGATCATTTCCTTCTCCTTCCTCTTAAAAAAAATAGAATTTGGTTCTTAAATCTTTAAGATCCTTCATAAATGATCTTCATAAATGAGCTACTAACCTATAAACTAAATTGCCTTTTTTTTTTAAAGGCATTTGGGGTTAAGTGACTTGCCCAGGGTCACACAGCTAGTAAGTGACAGATGTTTGGTCTGAGATCGGATTTGAATTCAGGTCCACCTGACTTCAGGCCGGTGCTCTATCCACTGTGCCACCTGGCTGCCCCAGCTAAATTGCTTTGGAAAAATATATATTTTTTTAAATTTATGATTGACATTGTTTGGCAGAAAAGTGACATTGATACTGTTGAGGCAGCTTAGCTTTGTACAGAAGTAAAAATTGCTATTATCAGAGGCATGGAAAATCCAGTCAGAAATATAGGCCACACTCTATGTTTTGGTCAGATCACTTTAAAGGTGAGATGGATGTATGTTTTTTATAGTCCATGCGCTGGACCACTAAGATGGCTCAGCTGTGACAATGTCTAATAATCATGGCCTTCTGTCTTCCTAGCTGACTGAGCCATTCTATAAAAGTTAAATGGTCCTAAAATGTCTTTTCCCCCCCCTTGTACTTCCTAGGCAAAATAGATGCAATTAAGTTTTAATTAAGTAAATCCTTACGACTCTAGGGAAGCCTTATATTTTCCCTTACATGTGGGAATTCTTCCTTTTTCTTGACATGATTAATTCTCTTTTTATCCCTCATTGACATTTTTCTCCTTTGCCCCTGGATTCTTCTGCCTTGTATCCACCATTATTTGTAGAACTGTCATCACCCATTACTCACCCTAGGTCCTATTATAAACTCCTTGGAAACACCAACTATGTCATCAGTGTATTTGTTAATCTCCATCACCTGGTCAGATGCTTGGCACATAGTAGGCACTTAATGAATGTTTATTGGTTGAATGAGTACAGATTTCATTTTAGAATTCCAGGTTCTCCATAACCTGACCCAACATTAGCTCTCAAAGGCTTTGGCCTGCCTACTTTTGGCCATACTCTTCCTCTCTTCCTTTTTAGCCTTCTTTCTGCTCCAACTACCTGATTTTCCACCTGCTCTTCAAGGCCCAGCTGAAACTGATACCTCCTGCATAAGAACTCCTGTAGATCTTCCATTTACTACCAAGAGGTTTAGCATTTATATTACATGCTAGGTTGTAATTCAGTTGTTTTATGTATGTCACTGTTGTGTTCTCAACCAAGTGAGTGCCTCTATGGCAAAGGACAGTTTATCTGATTTTCTCTGTCTCCTTGTCTCAAATGCTTACTAAGCTGTATGATCTTGGGCAATTAGTTAACTATCCTTAGCCTCAGTGTCCTCATCTGTAAAATGGAGGTTAATACTGGCATCTACTTCATGGGATTATTGTAAGAGATAAAGTAAAATGACATGTAAACAAAACATTAAAAGCAGACATTAAAGCACTGTATACATATTAGCTGTTAATGATTGTTAATTATTATGCTCTCTCCTTCATTACATCATCAGCTCATGTTGGTTTAATTATCATGTCTGTACAGATGACTCACAAGACTATATATCCTAGTCTCTTGAGTTTTATTTCCATATCACCAGCTGCCTGTCAGACCTACATACCCTGTAGACTGTCTCAAACTTAATGTGTCTAAAACAGAATTGTATCATTCCCCTCCAAATCCATCCCTTTTTCTAACTTCCTGGCTTCTTTTAAGCGTATCACTATCTTTCTTGTCACTTAGATTCACAAACTCAGAGTAAACATCATTTCCTCACCCCACATAACCAGTTAGTTGCCAAATCTTGTTTCCAATCTTGACAACATCTCTTGCATTCACACCTCCCTCTCTGTCTGATCACATTACTACCATTCTAACTGTTACAAGAAAGAGCCTCCTAACTGGGCTCCCTGCCTCTGTTCTCTCCCCACTTTAGTCCAAACTGATTTTCCCAAAACTCAGATCTGACCATGTCATTCCACTACTGCATATACTCCAGTGATTCCCTGTTACCTTCTCTAGGACCAAATAGAAACTCCTATCTGGCATTTAAATAGTCTTTCACGGACTGGCCCCACCTACCTTTCCAGCCTCATAAGACATTATTCTCCTTCCCACCCTCTGTAGTCTGGTCAAACCAGCTTCTTTACCATTCCTCATACATAGCATTCCACCTCCTTCTTGTGTCCCTTGGTGCTGGCTGGCCTCAGTGCCCTGGTATGCAGTCTGTCAACATTTAGCTCAAGAACCACCATTAAGCCTTTCCTGATCTCTCCAACTTCTAGTCCCTTTCCTCACCCCCAAACTACCTTGTATCTATTTTGTGTATCCCTTTATACTTATATCTTGTCCCCCTAACTAACTGAATGTAGTGCCTGGCAATTAAACCCTTAGTGAATGTTTGCTTTTTGATTGATTGATTGATTGATTGATTGATAAAATGTGAGACTTGTAATTAGGAAGAGATCAAGAGTGGCCAAAAGTGCAGTTGGAAGGGAGGGAGGTGTCATCTCATCTACCCCATTTCTAAATCATAATACTGGGTTACTAACTTGCTTAATGGAAATGTAATTTCATAATTCCGCCGTTCATGCCGACTGCCTTACATGACTAAGCACTAGGGGAGTTAATTTTCATAATATTTTTGAGCTTACTAACTAGAATGAGATGATTCTCTTGCTTTGATATGGAGATAGGGTAATTTTGTTTTCTCCCATTCTCCTTTTATTATACCTTTCTTCTACCTGATTTCCCCCTTTTCTTATGTCTTTGTTTTGTTGTTTCGGTCTCTGGAGACAAATATAAGTAAAGCATCAAGTCCAGCTTAATGTTCCTAGGATTGGAGAGGGGAGTGGGGTGAGATGGTGATAGTGCACACTTAATTCTAGACAAGTAAATTTAACATGTCTTTGACACAGTGAAATTGTTGCACTCCCTCCTTGTGAGTCCTGTTCTTTTAATTGCCCTAATGTAAGTTAACAAAAAAAAAAATCGTTTCTGGTACAAAATATAAGCTGCCTGCAGTGCACTATAATTTTCAGTTCTTTATGTTTTCATCCAGAGATATCTGTTTACTCCCTTTTTTGCCCCCTTGAATATATTTTTATCTATTTTGTTAAATTTTCCCAATTACATATAAAATTTTTTTAACATTCATTTTTTAAAATTTTGAGTTCCAAATTCTCTCCCTCCCCCACCCACTGAGAAGGCAATATATTTACCCTTAATATCGGCAATTGGTAATAGAACTATCACAACTTTTCCCTATTAGCGTTTCTTAGCTTTTTTGACCTTATAAATGTTAAAAGACAGTATATTAATTGTGAAAAGTTATCTGAGGAAAATAGGAATTGCACAGTATATTGCTTCTGCTGAAGCTGAAGGGACTGAAAGCAAGAGACAGATATTTTTCTTCCATAAATGCATGTCTTATGAAGGAGGCAGCATTACAGAGTAGAAAGAACACAGATTAACAAGGGTCAGGAGACTCAGTCCTGGGGCCAACCAACCCAGCCACTGTCCAAGATATGTGGTCTTGGGCAATCATGAGACTAGCTTCCAGGACATAATCATTATGGTTACAGCTGGTCATCTTATAAGGGTCGCATCATTTGGTTCTCAGGTTCACATCTCTCATTAAAATGGGAGGTTGGACTGTGTTTCTTAAGATTGTATTTCTAAGTAGAGATGTAACAATGCCCCTTTGCCCTTGTTTCATGAATAGGATCCAGATGATGTGGTACCAGTTGGCCAGAGAAGAGCCTGGTGTTGGTGCATGTGTTTTGGACTTGCATTTATGCTCGCTGGAGTAATCCTTGGAGGGGCATACCTGTACAAATATTTTGCATTTCAGGTGAGTAGGGGTGGATCCATAGGGTTCTTTGTCTCTCTTTCCTGTCTGTTTTTTGGGAAGTTATTACTGACTCCCTGTGCTGTTGCTGTTCTCCCCTGTGGCTGTATGGCCTTTAGCCATATTCCTAGTGGTTATTTTAAGGCTCTAAATCTTCAATGACATTTTGGCTAAATTCGTACAGCAGACCCTGAAAGCAAAACCATATTGTGTATTCTTGAAATGCACTGACAGAAGTGCAGAAATTCTTAGAACATTTTTCATTTAGAATATCCTTCTTATTTCTATAATATTTAGTAGTTAATGGAGAGGGGGACAGCTTTTCTTGACTTCCAGATGAATAAATCAGCTTGTACCATCAACAGCCTACAGCTTGGGAGTTGCTGGGTTAGGGCCCAGTTCAGGCTCACAGTGTTCTTATTCTCCTAGGTTCATAGTATCTTGGCATCCTGTGCTTTTCTCTCCCCATGATTGGTTTATTCTTTCCCTAAAGCATTTAACTAGTGTCAGCAGTGTTACTGAAATAAAGTAGTTTTTAAAAGTTATTGTAAACTAGAGTTTTCAGTAGTAATGACAACAATCTAAGATCAGGATCATAATAATTTCTATAATTTGTATTTATTCTGTTCTCCATATGCTTTTCTTGACAGTACTTCTCTTCATAGCTAGGGTCTTTCTGTGTCTCTTTTAAAGGAATTTTTGAGGGAAAAAAAGACTTCTAAATTTCGAGTAAGAGTAGAACTCAAGAGGGTTAACATTTTTTAAATTCAGAGACATAGTTTTTGATTACAATGAAATGAACATTGACTCTTAATCAGAGGAATTGGTTTCAAATCCTGTGATATTTAATGATCTTGGATAATCGCTTAACCTCCTTAAGGCCTCAGTTTTCCCATCTGTGAAATGAGAGAGTTGACTAAAGTATTCCTACAACCACAGATCTGCTCCGAACAGAGGGATTTGTGTAACTTAAAGAGAAGATGAGAGGATCCATGTGGAATTCAGTTGCTGGATAAAGTGAATTCTGCTGGCCAACTAGGGTATTTGAATGAAAGAGCTTAGGCCTTATTTACTGATACAGTGGAAAGTGGAAAGAGTGCTAGATTTGGAGTCAGAGGACTTAGACCTTGGGAAATCACAACCTCTGGACTCTAGAATTCTAGTTTTCTCAGCTTTGAAACAAAGGGCTCAGACTAGATGTTTTCTGACGTCCCCTCCAGTTCCAAGTCAACAATCCTGTCTTAATAATTATACTTGTGTTGACTTGCCTATTTTTAACTCAATAGTTTAGATACCCAATAGTTTCTGTCTTAAGTGAGTGCTATTAGCATATCAATATGAAACAGAGTGATGTTGGTCCCTGCAGGGTGGTAAGTTTTATTCTTATCTTTACCCTATCATTCCCTAGGTCAGAGGTTCTGAAAATTTTTTGATCCAAAGACTCCTTTGGCGGTCCAGCGAAGCTCATAGACCCCTTCTTAGAATAATGTCTTTTAAATACATTTTTAAAAAATTAATAGGATTACAAAGAAAACCAATTATTTATAAAAATACTGAAATTTTTATGGTTTTAAATTATCAAAATATTTTCAAAAACAAGATTTCAGGTTAAGAACCTTTGCCCTAGGCTAACTGTTAGTTTCCAGACTCTTCTGACCTTCATAACAATTTCAGTGAGAATAGTTTTTTTTTGAAATGATTCATCAATAACCAACCTGTCCATTCAGGCATGGTATCTTAAATTTTCTGAACCTTAATGGACTTTTGCTCTAAAACCTTGGTGGTTCCACAGAGGAGAACCCTGTTTTCCCAGTACCAGGAAATCCCAGCTATTATTGCCTGGGTCCTAATATTTTAATAGTGGCTATATGTATAAGATATCCTTGGATGAAGAAGCACCATAAAATGATAGACAGCCTTGGAGCATCAGTAACTATGGAGATGTGTCTCAGTGAAATACAAAAGCCAGTGGATGGTGAGTCAGGAGACCTGTATTCTGGCGTGCGCCGCCCCCCCCCCCCCTTCTGCTGTGAAGTAACAGTTTACTTGATCAAGTCAGAACCTCTCTGGCCTTACTTTTCCTTTTACAAAAAATGAGGGTTTGGTATTAGATGATCTTCACCTAGGAGAACTCAGAATTCACCTCAAACAGTTGGAGGAATGGCAAACTGCACAATGCTGTTTTTTTTTTTTAACTTTTTTTTTTGGCTAGGCAGTGGGGTTAAGTGACTTGCCCAGGGTCACACAGCTAGTAAGTGTTATGTGTCTTGAGGTTGGATTTGAACTCAGGTCTTCCTGAATCCAGGGCTGGTGCTCTATCCACTGCGCCACCTAGATGCCCCTGCACAAGTCTATTGACCAACACTAAGCAAAGCAAATTTGTTTTCAGAACTTTTAGTAAAATGTCCTTTTATTTCTATGAAAAATCAGCATTGCTTCCTAACTTCAGTTTCTAGCTTTAATCTCTTTAAAATAGGGTTTGAAGGGTTTAAAAAAAAACATGATACTGATATATTGATATAGTGCTTTAATACTGATATAGTGCTTTAAAATTATTATTCCATTTGATCTTCACAACAACCTTGGGAGGTGGTAGATGCCGGTTATTATTCCCAACTTACAGGTAAGGAAACTGAAGCCAACAGGTTAAAAGACTTGCTTAGGGTCACAAAGGTAGGTGCCATTATTAACCCCAATTTATAGATTAGGAAACTGAGGCAGACAGGTCCGATGACTTGTCTAGGGTCACACAGCTGTTAGTGAGGCAGGAATTGAACACAGATCTTCCTCACTCCAGGCCTAGCATTCTAATTGGCCACCTTTCTTAAGTTTCTTTCTTTTTTTTTTTTTTGCCAGGCAACTGGGGTCAAGTGACTTGCCCAGGGTCACACAGCTAGTAAGTGTCAAATGTCTGGTCTGAGACTGGCTTTGAACTCAGATCGTCCTGACTCCAGGGTCGGTGCTCTATCCACTGCATCTGAAGTTTTTTAATGTAATAGAGCATCTCAAGGGCAGGGAATCTGGTCTGTTTCTTTTGTCTCCGTTCTTTCCTTCCTCGCCAGTAAAAGTGTACTATATACAGAAGAGCTGAGCGGCTTGTTCAATTTTCCCTGTGTTTCCAAACAGTGACATTTATATAACATATATTAACTTTGTAGAGAAGCTTTTCCTCTATTCTTCATTTTAGACTCAAAGTAATTCTGTAAGAATAAATCTCATAAAAGGTACTCTACACATATACATCAGTTCACAGACAGATTTCAGAAAAATATCTTTTGGTTGTAGGCCAAGAGGAGAAACAGCAGGGCTTGAGCTCCTACAAATGCCGAAAGCTTGAAAACCTTGGAAACCCCTTCCCCCCAAATATCCTTTGTTTTGGAGCACATCTTCACAAAAATGTATTCTGGATTATTCAGGCAGGGTCATGCTTGCATGTGTGTTCCCTTTAAATTTACCTGTCACCATATGAATAATTGCTTTTATATTCTCTTCCTCTCAAGTTTAAGGAAGAAAAAAAGAAAGCAGAATGCAAAACCTGCTACTCTTTTTCCTCTTTCTCAGAAACAATTTTAAACTGGATGTCTGCTTCAGAATCTGATCTTAAAGAAAACATGCTGGAAATTTGTAATTAACCTGTCCTATGTGACATCTTAAAGAGTTTGCAAGCAAAATGCTCTTGAATTAGAAGTGGTAGCTTAAGTAACTTTTAGCTTTTGAAAGCTTTAGGTTCACAGTGGATCATGGAGATAATTTTGAATTCCTTGTAGCAGGATGATGTCTACTACTGTGGAATAAGATACATCAAAGATGACTTGGTCCTAAGCGAGCCCTCTGCGAATGCTCCAGCTGCTCGGTACCAGACAATTGAGGAAAATATTAAGATCCTTGAGGAAGACAACGTCGAATTCATCAGTGTACCAGTCCCAGAGTTTGCTGATAGCGATCCTGCCAACATCGTTCATGATTTTCACAAGGTGAGCCACTTGTTCTGAGTTATAGAAGGCCTATCATTTATTTCTTTAACTTGCACCTCTAGTTTCTAATTAAAGTGGTTCACTTATTTGATGGTACCACTTTACTTGAAGCCTCAATTTTTTTTTTAGTGAACTACATTTATTCTGCCCTCAAAAGATACACAAGCAGGTTTTGATTAATTATGGATGAATTAATTAACCTTATAAACTGGGGGCATTTGCACCTTTTTAGTAGAGCCTGGATTTCCTCTTAAATGCCAGCCAGAAGACTACCTTCCTTATTGTCCACCATGTTTCTACTTCTTGACTACATTCTCCAAGCCAGAGTAGTATTTGCTATTTATCATTTATTTGCTATTTTTATTTATTACCTTTATAAATGTTTTCTATCAGCAATACAGAAAAATCTAGTTTCACTGTGTCAGTCACCTTCATCTAGCATTCTGAAAACTCATTTATTGTTAGCTATCATAGAATGAAACTCCAACTAGCTTTTAGTGGGTAAATGAAGATAGTGTCGACTACTACTGCATAGAAGTAATTTCTGTTTTTTTTCATCTCTCCCTATCCCACTACGTTCCAAATTCATTTAAAGCAGTGATTTATTATGAGAGTGAGAACCTCTTTTACATTTTCTAAAGTCAGCTCCACGTAAAATATTAAAATGTAGTTTCTGTTAATCCTATAAATATTCAAATAATGTGACTGAAATACTCCTTTTTTTCCCTTCAGAAACTTACAGCCTATCTTGACCTTAACTTGGATAAATGCTATGTGATTCCTCTGAATACTTCCATTGTAATGCCTCCCAAAAACTTATTGGAATTGCTTATCAACATCAAGGTAAAGAAAGTTCTTAATTCTGTCCACTAATATTACCATGGATTTAAGGGATGGAGAGGTAAGAGATTTGTGTCAGAAAACCCGTCTTTCCATTAAAATGATTCAGAATTTTGCAAAGGAAATAATGCTTTAGCATCTGAGGGTTTATTCCAGTTCCATAATTTTGTCATTTCTGATTTTTATAGATTTAGAAACTTAATGTTTTCTTTAGTCAGCTAACCTATAAAGACTGGGAATTCTGGTGGTTGTTTTTATTTCCCCAGAGAGAGTGTGGTGATATATTTGGTTTTTTTGTTTTTTGTTGTTTTTTTTTTTAATGTAGGCTGGAACCTATTTGCCTCAGTCCTATCTGATCCATGAGCATATGATCATCACTGACCGCATTGAAAACGTTGATCAGTTGGGTTTCTTTATTTATCGGCTGTGCCATGGCAAGGAAACTTACAAATTGCAGCGCAGAGAAACCATTAAAGGTAAAATACTTCCTTAATGCCTTAGGCATGGGTAGGAAAGTTGTATGTTGAAGCTTAATGTGCAATTGAATTATTCACATTAAAAGCCTTAAGGCTTTTGACTTAGTGTTCTTGCAATGGATGGATCATAGCTGTAGGACTGGAAGAGACCTCAAGCCATTTAGTTCAAATCCCTTATTTTACAGATGAGGAAACTGAGGCCCAGAGATATTAGGTGATTTGCCCAAGTTCACACAGGTAGTTAGCATCAGAGATAAGAATCAAATACAGGTCCCCTGACTTCTAGGGTCACTGTTGCTTCCTTAGTATTACACTGCCTCTCTTAAAAACTGGAGCTAAAAGGGACCTGAGGCCACTTAGTCTAACTGTTTAATTTTACAGCTTTGTAAACTGAGGCTTAGAGTAAAGTATTGTTTACAATAATAAGTGGCTTGCCCAAGGTTGCATAGGTAGTTTCAGAAATGGGATTTGAATCTGTGCTATGTTCTAGTAAGGGAAAGCTTAAGTTATTGTCTTGTTCCCTAATTAAACATATGTGTGCTGCTTACATCCCACGTTGATTGTGAAGAAAAAACTTTGTGAGCCTCAAAACTTAGCCAGATAAAAAGGAGTTGCTAATATTCTGTGGCCTCTTTTTGTATTCTAAACCCATTCTTTTCAGGTAGAGACCAGAGGTCTAAGAAAGGTAGAGGAGTGTAGTTGGCCATGGCACCTACTTGAAATGCTGATGCATGGCTTTTTCTTCTCCTCTTCTTAATCCTTGCTCCATTGAGCCGCCCATTCCAGCCTTTAAAAATGCCAGTTTTGGGGGCAGCTAGGTGATGCAGTGGATAGAGTACCGGCCCTGGAGTCAGGAGGACCTGAGTTCAAATGTGACCTCAGCACATGATGAGCTATGTGACCCTGGACAAGTCATTTAACCCCGATTGCCTCAAAGAGAAAAAAAAAAAGAATGCCAGTTTTGGTTGGGCTGCATTTCAAAAGGTTTTTGCCATCCATACAGTGGCATACACATTCTCAAGTGAATACTCAGGCATTTGAAATTAAAGTTTCTTTGTGTATGGAGCAAGTTTTACTTTTGAATATTGTCAGTCTGTGCACTGATATTATCAGTCTGCCAGCATTCTGTAGTTTTGATTGGACTGAGGAAGAGACAGGGATCAGGAACATCTCTGTTGGGTCATTGCAGTCATCTCCTAACAGGGAAGAAAGATACTTGTGTACTTGTGAAAATAGAACATATAAACAGGACTTAACAACTCTTTGTGGGGGAATGGATAGGAAAGAAGAACCAAAAATGTCATAATGGTATACACATCAAGGTGACCAGAAGGGTCATGGTATGTGCCATCAACAGATGGGGAGCTATTCATAGTTTTAGTTGAAGTTGTTTTAATGGATAAAACCCTACCAGGTAGGGAGAAGAGGGTGATCAGTGAAAGTCACAACCTTGAGCAGCAACATTTCAGCCAGGAAGATGGTAAAAGCAGTTCTCATTTAGGATACACCTGTCAGCCAAACAGAAATGATTAACTTGAATTACAATACATTTCTATTTTATTGAGGAAAGGGCTTCCAGGTTGGCCTTTTAGTATGTAAGGTTTGCATCCTTTGTTATCTTTAGCAGATCATTCACATTAGTAAAGACAGAAAATGCAGAAAAGGGAAATATCACTTGATTTCATGAAGTCCAGGTCTTTGACAATAGAAGGTATTCTAACCACCAGCCTGCTCTAAATCTTCTCAGTTCTAAAATGTGACACTTAGTCACTGACCAAAGATTAGTGGAGAGAGATACTTTAGGGCAGGGCTAGCTTCATTTTAGTCTATATATCCCCATCACCTAGCAAAGTAATGGCACATAGTATGGACTAAATAAATGCTTATGCAATTAAATATAAACATGTAAAATCCAAAAGACTTTAATCATCTCTCTTACCCACATAGGTATTCAAAAACGTGAAGCTGACAATTGCATCAAGATCCGACACTTTGAAAACAGTTTTGCTGTGGAGACACGCATTTGTGCATGAACATAAAATGAAAAACACAATTCTGGTGAAAAATTTTAATACAGCAGTATAATCCCATCCTTTGTATTTTGTGCAGTGATTCTTTTAAAAAATTTTTTTTTCATGTAAGTAGTAAGCAGGGTTCTGTTGTCTTTTCATCTCATAATACAATTAAAAGCAGTAAATTTGAAGAATCATTCTTTTCTTTTATTCCCCCCTAAGTGTGGTTTCTTTTATATTTGACTTAGTAATTGTATAAAGTCATAGATATTAGTACATTTCGTGTGACAGGCCTTAAGGAGAATAAAATTTCTTTGAGACATTTGTCAGGATTTTCATGTTTTTACTTTGCTGTTTTGAGGGAAGGGTTATTGAGGGGGACTGGGAAATCTAACTCTGCATACGTACCAAGTGAGCTGTAGTAGCCATTTATCATTGTTACTTACCCTGCTGCCTAGTTTGTTACAGCATTTAAACATGCATTTGAATTTTACTCCAATTACAATGTGTAGTATTTTCGGTGTCATATCTAACTCTTTAGGTTCTCATTTCCAACTTGATGTTTTAATATACTAAGCACCTGCTGTAACAGTGATTCAGAAAATGTAATGGAATTTAAGTGGTAACGTGTGTTACTAATTTGTATATAACCCATGTATGTGCAATGGAAGGAATATAAATCTTACAAAATTGTTTGCCTAAAGGACTTGTGGTTTTTTTGTCCCTCCACACTAAAAAATAATTAGGAATATTGGCTCTTTATGACAGAAGCCATCCATGGAAAGGAATAAACATAGTTCAAAAACAAAATCTGCGCTTTGTGATGTACAGTGGATACAACCATAGCAAATACAAGATGTTTCAGTATCTAAAGCAGTTTTTTCATTGAGTAATTAGAAAACTACCCAGACCTTGACCCTGACCATAAGAGATGTTCTGAAATGGGAGCTTTGGCATCAACAATAAGAATTTTGAAAGGAATACTTCCTTGTTTAACTAACATACTGTTACTTTATTAAAATACAAAAGGTAGGCCAAAGTAATCCCTGAGAACTACTCCCTCACTGATGGAAGATTTTGAAAGATAGGACCATTATGATTCTTTAATATTTTTATGTTGCTTCCCTTCAGGACATATTTAGAGCCCATCACCTTGTAATGTACCCATGACTGACTCCTTTGTAATTCTCCAAGTCAGAAAACAATTGCTTTGAGAAAGTGTTTAGAGGCCCTAAAGGATGATAGAGTATATAAATCCTAGCTGCATGATCGCTAGCTTGAACCAAATACAGCCAGAAAGGCTATTTTATCTGACTTCTGACCCTTGCTTGGCTCAGTCTGTGCAATGTAGGATTAGTATTAAGCCGGCTAATCATTTTGGTATTGGGTATATTTTTTTTCAAAGCAGACTATGCTCTCATAAAATGTAGAGCATGCTGACCCCTTCTTATCCTTGTGCCCCTCCCAACCTAGCTTCTAATACTAAAATTCTGTGATTTCATAGGCGAGCTCAAAAAATGAGCAAACCCTATGCCTCAGAAGATATTGCAATGTTAATGGGAGAAAAGAGTATTGTATTAATGATCTACATTGCCACTTTAACCAGGCATGCTACAGTTTAAGTTTGCCTTCCTTTTTAGAACTTCTTAGTCTACAGGGGCAGGAAGTCATGAATTCCTAATTTAAGAAACACTGTTCTAGTCTGATGTTCCAGTCAGGTAGGCAGAATCATGTTCACACCACTCTCTACATGCCTACTCCCTGTCCGAACAGTAGGATAACCACAGCAACCTAGTAGTTATTTCTCCAAGAAGCAATTAGGTGTAATGAATACTAAGCTGGACTTGGAGTTAGGAAAATTTGGTTTTAAGTACTCCTGACACATACTGGCTGTGTGACCATGGACAGAATCACTTAACTACTCCTTGGCCCCTAGGAACTTTCTAAGACTGGATGGTGGAAGCAGTTTCCACACCAGAAAGTCTCTATATTGATTGAAATTGTAGGTGTCGTCCAAAAGAAAACAAAAAAAACCTGTGTGCTACAAGACATGAACCAGCCTGAAATGACAACAGTCCCATGTTGTTGTTCAGTCATGTCCTAACTCCCCCATTTGGGGCTTTCTTGGCAAAAATACTGGAATGGTTTGCTATTTCCTTCTCTAACTCATTTTACAGATGAGGAAACTGAGGCAAACAGGGTTAAGTGACTTGCCCAGGGTCACACAGCTAGTAAATGTCTGAAGCCAGATTTTAACTCAGGAAGCTGAGTCTTCCTTACTTCAGTCCCAGCTCTCTATCTGCCGTACCACCTAGCTACCAATTCAACTCTTAGGAGTTAGCCTTAAAATGATTAGGATCATTCCTTACCAGTCTCAACTTTGCCTTTTAGAGATCACATAGCTAGCTTGTTTCTATTCATCAAAATGAAAACATCGAAAAAGACCACCATTTGCCATGGACCTTTAGGGAAGTAGTAGTCTTAAGAAAAAAGCTCATCAGCATCTCTTCCTTTAATACCCTCCAATTACACAAAACAGTCATTAAATTTTTCTTTAGCTCCCTCAGTTTTTCTCAGCAGTTCCTTTTTAGTCTCATTTATTCTTCTGAACTTTTTTAACCTGGCCCATATTCCTTTCAGGCCATCTTTGTAGTGTCCAGCACAGTGAAAGGATTTAACTGGGTTCTAGCATAACTCAAAGCTTCTCCTTTTTTGCTACGTAATGTCTCTGGCAGCCCAGCCCGTCTCCTGTGAGGTGCCCCCATTCCTTTCCTTGAAGCATGAAAATAAATGAGTCGGTTAAGAAGGAGCACTCGAGTTGCGGATGTTAGTAAAGAAAAGATCGCGTCAGCCTAGTTCTCGGGATGCTTTGGTTCCACAGCACTGTGGTGGTGTTCAAGATGACACAGCAGCTTCCCCTCCACCACTGGGGAAAGAATTCCAGGGAGGCTGGCCTGTTAGTCATAGCATCATGTGAGCTGCATTAACCCCGGAATCTTTGGAGGAGCCCCATCAGTTATAATTCTGTCTGTATCTATCTTTCATCTGGACTCATTATTATATACTCAAGATAAATACTTGGGTTACAGTGACCCTAATCTCTAAATGAATGGTTGCTTAGAGATAATAACTTAGTCATAAGATTCTTTAAGATGACAAAAGTGCATTATCACATTTGAGCTTCAAAACCTCCCTGTGAGCTACATGGTATTTCTTGTTTCATCATTTCAGTCATGTGGGGTTTTCTTGGCAAAGATACTGGAGTGGTTTGCTGTTTCCTTCTCCAGCTCATTTTTACAGATGAGAAAACTGAGACAAACAGGATTAAGTGACTTGCTCAGGGTCACACAGCTAGTAAGTGTCTGAGGCCAGATTTGAACTTAGGAAGATAAGTTTGACCTCAGGCCCACCACTCTATGCACTAGCTGCTCTAATTTTGGGAAGTCCATTTTGCTGTAAGCAAGGTGGCAAAGTAGATAGGAGCCTCAGGCCTTGAGTCAGGAAGACTCGAGTTCAAATCTAGCCTCAGACACCAGTTTTGTGACCCTGGACAAGTTACTTAGTCCCTTTGGACTCAGTTTCTTCATCTGTAAAATAAGCTGGAAAAGGAAATGGCAAACCACTCCAGTATCTTTGACAAGAAAACTCCAAATGGGGTTATTACTACCCCTCGTTTGATAGATGAAGAAACTAGGCCAGAAGGCTAAGTGCTTTGGTCACTCACACAGTAAGTGTAAGTTGTGGAGCCTGGGAGTCCAACCATGGTGGTCTGACTCCAATCCCAGTGTTCTTTCCATTAAGCCATTAGCATTGTGGGAACATGGATACTTTATACCAAAATTACTCTGTTTGTTCTTTCACAGAGACATCTCCCCAAGTTGATTGACTCAGAACAGGGAAACAGGTTCTCATTGCTTTTCCCTACCTATAATATGGCAGCCCTCAAACAAGAGGTTGCCAGCCCTCTCCACCCATTCTGCAAGGGATGAGGATCCAGATAGCATTTACATATCAATTCTATGTGTTTGAAAAGATCTTGGCCAGGTCAGGCCTGCCTGATATTCCTTGAGGCTTTTGTAATATGAGCCACTACTTCCCTTACTCCTCTCTTCTACCATTACCCTTTATAAGTTTTCGCCTTTTCCTGTCCTTGTGATTCTTTTACATCACCACAAAATCATTCAGTCTACAAGCCAGTTTCCTTACTTTGCAGCTCCTAGAATACTGCCATGTGTGTGTAATAGGTACTCAATATAAATTTGCTCCAAATATAAACATTAATTGCATTTCATTCCTAGTACTGCACAATCATTAACTTATTAAAATCTTGTCTTTTGAGACTCAAATAATATGATTCTCAAGATATTTTGTTTGAAATGTGAAGGTTAATATTGCTAAATTCCCTGTGGGAAATAAACAGTTCTGACATCTTATTTTAAAATGTTGATACTATGAAGTTAGGTACAACAATGTGTATGGGTTTTGAAATGCACACAACCTCTTTGGTCATCCAAATAATCTTTGATTGATGGTGATTGTCTCTCTGTTTATTTTCCAAAGTAGGAGAGATTAACACACACAAAAAAAATCTAATAGACTCCAAATTTGAACATTAAGAAAGGCTATTTCTTACCAGTCTTCTTCCCTCTTTCCCTCCCTCCTATTCCTTCTATTCCTCCCTCCTTCCCTCCCTTCCTTCCTTCCTCACTTCCTACTTTACCCAGGCAGCAGTCTCTCACAAGTCCAATTTCATTACTAATTGGCACTAGAACTTTGACCTCCATTTTTCTGACATGGGCTAGCCAGATACCCAACTGGCTTAGTCTTGTTCTGCTCAAGTCTCCTTAGCTCAAGCATCAGCCTCATGACAGTAGGGTTTATAAATCTGTGGCACTGACCTCAGTCATACCAATTTCAGTGGCTGTTTCTGTAGATAGTTTTTAATGACCTGTGGTTTGATATATGATTTTATTTTCAGTATCTCCCTGAAATGACTTCTCCTGCATAGAAGTACTTTAACTGATGGTTTTTTTAAAAAAATTATAAATTTAGCCATCAATAGAAGAATTCAAATAAACAGGAGTAAGAGATGGGGACTGGCATGTGACTTCAAGGATACTGGGATGTCCTAGATGAGGAAACTTTCTATAAATGTAGCTCAGCACTTCCTTGCAACTTAGAGTCTCAGAGAGTTGGTCAGAGCACTAAGAGGGTAAGTTACTTGCCTAGGGTCGGTCACACAATAAAAATGTATCTGAGAAGGGACCTGAACCTAGTTTTTCCAGCCTCCAAAACTGGTACGTAAACAATTCTGCCACCTATGAGAAATGAGTATTTCTCTCTTATACTTAGTAACTAATTATATTAGAACCAAGGTGTTTTCATTTTTGTATTTCCTCAGTCAGAAACCAACCAGTGTGGGAAATCTCATAGAGATTTACCCAGGCTGAGATCTAATCAGACAGTAAAAGAAATTCTAATTTTAGGCTAATGGGTGCATTCCCTGTTCATTGTGTTTGCTCAGACTGGTCTGGGAAAATGTGGATCCTTCCTTTTGTCAGACAGGTGATTTGGAAATTGATGTCTCTGATCAAGATTTGGGTGACACAGGTCAAGTACCCCAAGACCCTCATTTTAATACAGCCCACCTCTCATTGTGTTAACCAATCAAAATTGATTACCACCCTACTCTTTGAAAGGGCA